ACATTTTTATCCGCATTCTCTGAATCCGCGGGATCTCGAGTATAAAGAATTTACGTGGCGGAGTGCTTTTTTGCACCGTAGTCTGAAAGCAAACAGTTTTTTAATAACTAATTTAAGACTTCTTAACCGCCCGTTTAAATATTCACGGAGGTAGATGCGGCATTATATTTGTTCAGTTTCAAGGGTGGGAGGCAAAAACACTGCGGATCCGCTAAATAATTCAGGGCGGTGTACACGGCGCCCCGCGGGTGTTTTATACCCCCTATTATTCGCCGTTGCCGTTGATTATTAAGCGTTTTTTTTTCATAGGCCGGTGAGATTGACGCGCCGCTAGGGGGCGCTGGTGAATTTTTTATGCACTAATCGCCGCAGTCTAGATAGCGGAAGTGGCTTCATTTTCTTTCTAGGACGGGCGTGGAAGTCAGTGGCGGCCCGTGGGTTTGAATACAGGGGGGGCGCATTTTGAAAAGTTTTAAGGAATTTGAAGGTCATTGTGTTTTGCAAGTACTCCAAAATGAATACTGTCAGTGTGTACAGTAGCTACTTAGATACAATGCGAGAAATAAAATTCCAACGTGTGGGGGCTGAAGTGGATAATCGATCAACCAACCCAGTTAGGATATAATTATGTAGATTACTGTAATAGTTCATTCTGTATAGTTTTTGAAGTTCCTTTAAAAACATGGGCATCACTAAGATGTTTATCTAAAACGGGATCAATTTTTGCACTATAGTCTATCAGTTCTAAAAATACCCCTTTGTTTACCGAGTCACTTTTTTTATTATGTCCACGAAGAGAAAGGTTACATGTACCACATAGTTTTAAGATATTTAAAATTTTTGAAAGAAGCAATCGATTTTTCTTAACTGTTTCGTTATGACTATTTACTATTTATTTGTTCTGCATAAGCACTATTTAAACAAGAAGCAATATTTACTCTTCCTAAAAGTAAAAAACTCACCAACTTATTTTTGTGTTTAGGAGAATTTTCATGTTTCTTAATTTTAATTTCTAAATGTTTCAAGTCAGAAACTCCAGTTTTCGTCCAGTTTTCTTCGCCTCCTCCAAACAATAAACATACAAAACAAAAAAATCTATTTGTTTGGTCACAACCACACAACCACAGGGTCTTATCATAAATGTTTTTATCAAATTTGCGAAAGCCGGCCCACTTTTTGCACTCTTTCTGCACCTCAACTAAATTCAACACTGGCGTTGGACGTCCGTTATTTTTCAATTCGACTTTTTCCTCTAAACTTAAATTACTAATAACAAGTTTTTTTATTTCACAAACCCTCATTTTAAACTTAAACTTATAAAATATAATGTCTTAAAAAGCGCCAAAGCAAAAACAAAACACATATAACCACACTTCAGTGATACGGGTTACTGCCTCATGGAGTCCCAAAACAAAGCGCGCGAGCCTATCGTCGCCTATCCCCTCCACGTGCCAATTTGTCCAATCATATGTAAAAATATGCTTGCACGATGGACTCAGATTTCACGGTCCGCGATGGAGTGGGGATTGCGCGCGCGGTCAAACATAACTCTTTGGTACGATCATAGATGGCAGATGGCATTAATCTGAGCTACGTTCACGGAGTACATGCACTTTATGCAACCAACCTAACATCCAAGAGATATTGAATGCATGCTATTTAGATTTTTTATCGATTTAAATAAATACATTATTTTAAGTTTACAGTTTGAAAACATCTGGGGGGCGGTGTCCCCAGCGTTCTCCTTCACGAGCCGCCACTGGTAAAAGTATTAAGTAAAATAATTGATAGATCATAGATAGATCATCCTGCTGCCGAAAATAATACCTAGGTTTTAAATTTTTGTGTACAGCAGACAAATGATTATTATTAAGGCATGATTCAATTTCCAAAATTACCGAGGTTTTTTAGAAAACACGATTTTTGAACGTATTAAGAGACAAATAGCTTATAAATTATTTCAGATTAAAAAAGATTTTATTTCATTTATTTATTATAAGAAAAGGACTTCATAAAAACATATGTACGCCGTAAAAAAAAATCACTCAATTTTATTTACTTGTTCAGCACACCACGCCACGCGATGACCTAATGGGGGCGATGGGAATAAACGAAGACAACTCACGACAACCATAGAATGGGGTAGGATCATTCAATAATGAGGACATTTACTTCTATTTCGGTACGCGTGTATCAAATACGAGTATATTTGAGTGAAATTACCTACTCACTTTTAATTCAAATATTATCACAGTAAAATTATCAAAATGCTCAATATTGAGAATTTGACTCAATGAATTCAATCCCATACCTTTATATCCTTATTGTGTTCAATTTTTTTTTTACAGTGTAAATGTTGCATTTTTAGAATAAAGTGCCAATTTCTTTCTCCTAGTTCTTTTAGTAACTACTTCTCGTAAATGAGTTGATTAATTAAAGTTTGCGTGTTTGGCACATATAAAACTCAATAGAAGGATTATTTAGTAAAAAAATTCAGGTACGAGGAAATATGCACGCCACTGGTTTCTTCAAATTTGCGTCTCCCCGCGTATTCTCTAATGCGGCAATGCCAACAACGTCACCCTCACACCCTCCAAACTGAATAACAATTTCTGTTTGTACGCCGATTCCGGGGTGCTTAATCCCGTCGAGCACTCCTCGATCGACGCCCCATCTGGCGGTGCACAATGCGCTTCCGCAAACAGGTCTAGTGAGCGAAAGACCGCTATTGATCCAGGGCACGTTTTCAAATTACCTTAGCAGTTGTCTGACAAGAGTATTCACTAGTTCATTAAGATGCAGTATATTTACTCGAGGAACATGGTCCGGCATAATAATGCCAGATGATAGAACGATAGAACATACTTGACGTATTGAAACTGTTAAATAATGTAATCTTCCAAAGAAATATTTGCAGGAAGGCCACTTGATAAAGCTATCCTAAAGTAAAATGTAGAAATAGCATGATGTTATACAGAGTGGCCAAATGAAAACGAAACAGAGCTATTTTCAGGGACTGCGTCAATGTTGTAGAAAAACGCTCAGACCCGTCGATTTTAGATTAAAGGGGGACATTCTTTGCTGGTATTTTTGACTCCGCCACGTTCACCCCCAAGCAAGGGTAAGCATCACCCCAAAATATTTAAATGGCATTGGGGGTTGAGTAATATTTCTTTTGAAAGCTCTTACAATTCTCTTTACAACAGACTTTAAATTTTATAATTCCGCCCAATACTTATTAAGAATTTTGATTTTAAAGTTGAAACTTATGTACAAACAATTAGTAACGGTAAAAATGTTAGTCATTCGAGTTAAGTACGCCAATGGTATAAATTTAGTATTTCTTGCGTTACATTGGTTTTTGGCGATTTGTTATCACTTTCGTAAAAAAACACAATTGTAAAAAACAGAAATGAATGCTATACACACACACAATGAACGTAAAATTAGTGGATTCCAAATTATTTTCTAGTATTATTTGGAAGCGTTGGTTGGTAGTTCATTTAATTGTGTTTTTCAAAATTTATGGTTTATTCCATTACGGAAAGGGTAAATATCATTTCGCTTTACTTTATCAACAATAAATGTGCGAATAGAACAGCTCAGCTATTTAATGAACAACATCAAGATTGACATGTCATGTATGTTCTAGAGTTAATAAAAAAAGACACAGATGCCAGCTGCCTCGTACTTAATGTAGGAACAAGATGAACTTGTCCCAAAACTGCAACTTCACTAGCTTCATTAACTATAGGTTTTTCAATTTCTCGTTTTTTATTGGCTGCGTTCCCCGTCTCTTGACATTTTTTTACTAACTCTAGAACATACTTCCTCCTGACATGTCGATCTTGATGTTGTTCATTAAATAGCAGAGCTGTTCTATTCGCACATTTATTGTTCATAAAGTAAAGCGAAATGATATCTACCCTTTCCGCAATGGAATAAACGATAGTGTTTAAATTTCAAAAACACAGTTAAATAAACTACCAAAAACGCTTCCAAATAATACTAGAAAATAATTTGGAATCCACTTATTTTACGTTCATTGTGTGTGTAAAGCATTAATTTCTGTTTTTTACAATTGTGTTTTTTTTACGAAATCGCCAAAAACCAATGTAACGCAAGAAATACTAAATTGACTAAATGACTGACATTTTTACCGTTACTAATTATTGTTTGTACATAAGTTTCAACTTTAAAATCAAAATTCTTAATAGGTTTTGGGCGGAATTATAAAATCTAAAAGTCTGTTGTAAAGAGAATTGTAAGAGCTTTCAAAAGAAATATTACTCAACCCCCAACGTTATTTAAATATTTTGGTGTGATGCTTACCCTTTCTTGGGGATGAAAGTGGCGGAGTCAAAAATACCAGCAAAGAATGTCCCACTTTAATCTAAAATCGACGGGTCTGAGCGTTTTTTTACAATCTTACACAGTTCCTGACAACGGCTCTGTTTCATTTTCATTTGGCCACCCTGTATATCGTGACTATTTTTACATGTTGGTTTTTGTCAAAGTTGATAGAGCAACAAGAACACAAGATATTTCTTTGAAATATTACGTTATTTAACATTTTCAACTCTTTCTTGATTTATACACATGCTTTTCGTAATATCATACACAAAGTTGAGAATTAAAGCAAATAAATACGCTGTACCATTCCTAAACACATCATAAATCATTTTATAAGATTACTTACACCACACAAAAGAACTTTACGTACTCTCATAAACTCAAAAATAAAAATAAAAATGTAGCAAATTCATTTACCATCCCGTCATATCATACCAGGTGTGAAGACAATTTGCAGTTGCCGCCTCTCAAAGACGTTGGCATTTCAACAACAAATTTTACATTATTTAGCAATTTCAATATGTCTAACGTATCTAGAAAAGTTTTTTTATTATTAATTTTATATATTATAACTTTCTCAATACCGAAGATAGCACGTCCTACCGTCAACAACATCTTGATTTTAACACCCTTCTTTTTTGTTCCAGATAAAGGCTTACGAAAAATTAGAATGCCAAGAGGAAAGGCTGAAGTGTGCTAGGGACATTTACGACAACTTTATTATGAAGGAACTTCTGGCGAGGGCGCACGTAAGTACTTTTCTGTCGGAAGACGACCTTGGACCCGGACGAAATTCGTCTTTAATCACTCGGCGCGTCCGAAATTACAACCCCGGCAAAAGAGACGTTAAAACGTTGAGTAGTCTCTAAGGACTGGGTAACCGTCGCGCTTGCATTAGGCTTAGTTCTCCTCCAGCTGTACAGGGTGTTGGATAGCACAGAATAAAAGTTAAAAAAATGTATGGTACGCTTTTGACCTATCACTAAAAGTTAGTTTCAATTTGGTAGGGACGTTATTTATTAAGTAGATACATTTATTTATTGATTTTATTTTGTTTCAATAAAATTTTATAAAGGATTCCACTTTGAAAAATCTATTATTTTTCAATTTAGAGCAATTTCCAAAATGTTTGAAAAAGGTATTGAAGAAATATTTCAGTATAAAGACTTTTATAATTTCATTGATTAGATTTTGTTAAAAAAAGTGAGAATGGGAATTGTCGGATACTTTTTAGCTTATAATTTATTTAAATTTAAACCAGTTGACTGAAGTAATTTTCTCACTAAAGTAAGCCATTACTTCAATGGGTATACAAGTTAATTCTCATCCTTAGATGTCTTTTGCCGAACAGGTGTTTTTTTTAAGTTTTGTAAAAACTTCAGTGTTATACTAAAGAACTACGGCCATAAAAAAACAGCTTGTACCAAGTTACTCTCTCTCTCTCTCTGGCTCGAAAATCATAAAATTTTGGTCTAAGCCCCACTTCATCCGCAGAAAAGTTATAAGTGCGGGTTATGATACGAAATCGACCCGCGGTTCGAGAGGTGGTGTGCTACAACGAATATATATTAATGTCAGCCCGCTTCTAGTTTGTATATGGAATGTTTAGCGGTGCTGGTGATAAATCGAGACGACTCGGTGACAGCAAAAAAGGGATTATGATACTTTTTTTTAGTAATGAAAATCTTTCCAGCCCAAGTGACCGTGAAGATTTATTTTTTACTGTGTAGTGTAATTTGTCTTACTTCTCGTTAATTTGTTCGCTCTAGGAAAAAAATTGTTGCCATAACTCTTGGTGAGTATTAATGTCTTGGACATATACCAAAGATTTTATACGTTCCTAGGACACAGCAAATGTAAACCAGCAAATTCAGTTGAGCGCAAATCGTAAGACGCGCGTGACAGACCAAGCATAGATTTCAGTCTGTATGTAGTAAACAGAGATCTACTTAAAAATTTTACAGTTTGGACATCGTATTAAAGTTTCGAATTATGAGAACGGTGAAATGAGAGCTTTTATGTGAATAAATATTTCTTACAGTAGTTTAAATGGATTCTTTAAAAACATTAAAAAAACATAGGTATATACGATAATAAAAATATTTTGCCGATATTTTAAAAATAAAACATCTAACAATTCAGAAATAATAGTTTTCATAAAGAAACATTTCCGACCGTATTTTCAACATGACTTAATCACCCTGTATAATTTATAACATAACATAAAACTACCTAATTCTTCAAATGAATAATTTAAAATAATTTTTATTACGGCCCTGATCCCGCCAAATCTCAAAAACTTAAAATGTCCGTATCTCGAAAACTGTTGAGTTTATCGATTTGTAACAAGTTACTTATTTTATTTACAATTGAACATAGTTCAATATTTTCTAGTTAAAAAATTCAAAATTTTAAAATACAAAAAGTTAGACATATTTTACATTAATAGAGCAGTATAACTATCGTCCCCTAGACGTGACCCCAACACTGTTGGCAAATTCGGACGTGCCACTTCAAAAAACGTAAATCTACAAATTTTTCAAAACAATTGATTCATACCTACTTAAAATATGGCAAAATATCGAAAATATTTTCTCAACTTTAACACCCTGTAGAACGAAAAGGAGCAACAATTGATTAAGGCATGTTTGGCTTAATCGCTATATTTTGACGTTAACAATCTGTACCATTATTAATGACTCACCCTGTATGTTGTGCTAAAATGAGGATTCTACCAGTGGTGTAGAATGTAGAGGGGAGAACTGCCGCACGCCTCTGGTTATATCGAAAATTTGTTTCGTCATAATTTTATGTTTCCAGAACTGCCTAAACTTTGTACCAAATATGATGAAGAAATATTTTAGACCAGGAAAGGAAACATTTCGAAATTTATTTAATTACTGTGCGTGATTTTATTGGTGGAAAGTCTTGGGAATGATAATAGAAGAGGCGTCTCATCTCGTGGGTCATGAAAAAAGTATAGGTCATTGTTTCTTATCAACAAATAGGTAAAAAATTCGTCATTTTTCGTTCTACGCGTTATTGTAAAAAAAACTGTTAATCTTAGCAAAAAATGTTCAACAGACGATTTGATCTAGAGCAACTCATCTTTAAAATGAGACTTTATAAGTTAAAATTGCTTTATAAACAAAAAATTTACTGCAAAATTAAACGGAAAAAGTGCTTTTTTTTAATAACTTTTTAAATAATTAATAAAATCTTACCAAAAGAGTTTTTATATCCTTAAGAGATGTGCAAAAGATGGGCTCGATCGGTCAATAAGTTTTTGCAAAATTCTATTTATTTATTCCATTTTTGCAAAAAAGCCCATTTTCAATCTATTCCGGACGCAGGGTTATGACTACAACATTCTTTTTGGGCTCATTTTCTTCGAAGGGACGCCAAGTATCCCCTAGTTTAAAAAAAAAATTTTTTCAAATTTATATGTAAAAAAATTTCTAACTGCGGACCTTATTGGTCATAGAAACTTTTCTTTGAATTTGTAGGTTTTTACGAGCATTCAAATGGTGTGTATAACTTCTTTCAAAAGTTAAAAACCGCGGAGTTATTTTATTTGTTTATTATGGAAAAAAGTGCCTTTTATTTGTTAACAATTATAGTCCAAAGAGAATATTTTAGTCATAACCCTGCCCCCGGAATAGTCATTTGAAAATGGGCCATTTTTGCAAAAATGGGATAAATAAATGGAATTTTGCAAAAACTATTTTACCGATCAAGCCCATCTTTTGCACAACTCTTAGGGATATAAAAATTCACATTTTGGGAAAGTTTGGTAAGATTTTATTAATTATTTAAAAAATTATTAACAATTAAAGAAAAAGCACTTTTTCCGTTTAATTTTGCAATAAATTTTTTGTCTATAAAGCAATTTTAACTTATAAAGTCTCACTTTAAAGATTCTCTAGATCAAATCGTCTGTTGAACATTTTCTGCTAAAATTAAGTTTTTTTACAATAACGCGTAGAACGAAAAATGACGAATTTTTGACCTATTTGTTGATAAAAAACAATGACGCTGTACTTTTTTCTTGACCCACTAGATGAGACGCCTTTTGTATTATCATTCCCAAGACTTTCCAATAATAAAATCACGCCCAGTAATTTTCACGATTTCTCTATGATTTTTCACCTTTATTTCTTGGCCTATTAAACAGTATCAAATAAATGTGCAAAAATAATTTAAAAAGGAATATAAGCCCTGTTTCTCAGTAAGATAGCACATTTTTATACTGTTCGGTCACTAACCTAACATGAATATTCTTCACTGTTTCACTACTTTATAATTGAATTTGAGTTTTTAGTATTATGTACATATGTTCAAGTAGGTAGTTATTCGGTTTGTAGTACGTATACCTTATTATGTAACTTTATTGCTTTTCAAAGAGGTGTATGGTACCTACTTATTTAAAATAACAAATACAGCTAAAACACTCACTCATTCGTCCACACAAAGTTTTAATATAGTTGAGATCAGTTGCACCTTGATTTTGAAAGCAATTGCAAAACTGGACGAGACAACGAGTAGGAAATCAGCTGTTTCGCTAAAATTTTTCGATTTTGTGTCTATTAGAGATTTTTGGTATCAAAGAACATTGTTTGACGCCATTTGATGGGATTTTCTTAGGAAAAACTTATACTTTTTATTTTTAAGTACGGAAATAAAAGAGATAAGAGGATAGAAACGTTACGTGAATAACCGTAGCCCGTGTACAAAGGAAACGCTCGCCTCAACAAGAAAATATTAACCTGTGCAATCCTTCCGCATGTGAAATTTCAACGTCATAAACAGACCGAGTTTGCCGTCTGAGCCGCAAGCCGCCCGGAGCTTCTCCCTTTCGGGGTAAACATACACACACGCCACGAGCCCGAAAAGGTCGTCTTTTTCCTGTTGCAGCGGCCCCGGCTGCCCACCAAAGCGTGCATTAAAGCGCCGCTGCACACCGTTCGTTACTCCTGGCCGCTTGGTTTTATTTCCCCTTTTTCTGTTCCAGGACTATTCAAAAGAGTGCCTGCAGCACGTTCAAAGGCACCTAATGAAAAACGACGTCCCCGTCACCCTCTTCGAGGTAAGTACCCTCTATGCGGTGCTTGCACCGCGGCTCGTTTTATTAATAGGACGGAACGTCTTCTTGGAAGGCCGCCGCGGCTTGTTACGGATGACTTGTGTGGATTATAAGAGACTTTTTCGTGCAAATTTTGTTTTGTGATAGTCGAAAAGGCTAATAGGAAACGATATATCAAAGTTCGCGTCTAACTACACTTAGTCCAGGCTGTGTCGTCGCTCCCGCTAGGAACATGATCCTCATTCGATTTTTTTTCACAATCTTACTAAAAAAATGACCCTTGAAACATATCCGCATGTTGCCAGACGTTACTAATGGTCAAAAATTGGTTAAACAATTTTTTTAAACAAATTCGTAAATTTCGTTTTACGCTCGAAATAAATTATTTTAGGCTTTTTGGGGTATCCTGAACAAAGAGTTCCTATGCAACTTTTCTCGAAAATCTACCGTTTTCGAGATATTAACGATTTTTTGTTCGAAAAAACGCGATTTTGACCATTTTCAATGTCAATAAACTATATTAAAAATTGCAATTTTTAGTGTTGCCAAAATTCTTAAATAATCTTTGAACATCCTTTAACAAAAATCCGAAGAGTTACGCCGGCATATTTTATTCTGAAGACTTGTTTTTTTATTTTTAATAAGGCGCGCGCGCCGCGTTTCTCGGCCGCTCTTGGCCGCCTCCGTATACTGCGTCTCTCTCGCACTCACTCGAAGTATACATACAGGGTCGGAAAGTCCCCATGCTTCATCGGCCGTTACGTGAGAGCGATAAGGAAAGTCATAAAAATAAGATCCACTTCTATTCTTTCATTTATGGAAGGGCGAAATGTTCGGTGACTATTAGACGCCTTCATTATAGCCATCTTTTTCTATCGTACGGATTTCTATGACTTACTTTATCGCTCTCATGAACCTTGGGGACTTTCCGACCCTGTGTACTCTACGCCTACAACTAAGGATCTGCTTGTATCGCTCAATATTGACCGGTAGGTTTGCTGTTTTTTGATAATAATAAACTTAATATTAATAAACTATTTGTATTTGTATTTGTCGGTCGGTAGCCGCATGTGCTAATAGTCCAAGAGCCTAGCTACGTGTGGACTGCACTGATCGACTATAGTCATGATTTTTTGTTAAAAGTTTGTTATCACATTGACAAAGCCAGAGCCCATCAGTCAGAAGTCGCTCCAGAGGCGGAGAGCGTGAGCGGGCGGTTAAACGCGTAAAGTTTTGTCAATAAAAAAATAATCGAATATAGTCATGAAAACTGGTACACTTATAGATTTTAAGTGGATAAACATAGAAAAAATATCGTCAGAAGGCTAGGTGGTGGCTTAAGCGCTCTCAGAAGCGATAAAGTAGTAAATTGTGAATTGAAAAATAAATCACAATATATAGTTCTGACATTTTGTTTATTGTTAGTTTATAATACAAATAGACTATCTGTAAAGTTACAGAAGTTAAAAGTGAGGCTAATAGTCAAAAAAACATTATTTATCACTGCTCGCTCACGCTCTCCGCCTCTGGAGCGACTTCTGACTGATGGGCTCCGACTTTGTCAATGTGATAAGAAATTTTTAACAAAAAATCACCACTATAGTCGATCAGTGCAGTCCACACGTAGCTAGCTCTCCGTCTATAATGTGTCGGATCTGTAGTCGGATGTGTGCTAATTCTGCCCAGGTTCGATTCCTGCGGCCGATAGACCGTAGATTAGTGATACATGGTGAGGTTGTAAGCTAACCCCCCCCCCGGACAAAAATATCAAATTCACTTTGGAGAAAAACGATGAGAAAATTCCAACTTCTTTTTAAACTCAATTCTGGAGAAATCTAAGATTTGTGGTTAGGAACGATACTGACCAATTTTTACTTTCCCTTTAAGTTGTTTTTTAAAAAACTAAATAATTTGGTTCATACACTAGTTGTCAAGTCGCATTAGTTGTAATTTAAGGATTAAAAGTTGCTTAAAAACGAAATGCATTGAAATTTGTATATGCAAATATCTCGATAACCAAGCGAGATATCGAAAACGATCAAGAGGAACTTTTTTTATGGAACTAAGGACGTTATTTCAGCTTCGAAATTTCCCAACCTTCCGCAGACACCCTGTATATTTTCAAAATGTAAATTGTCAGTGAAAAAATGTATGTTGAGTGTAGCTTTAGACGAAAAGCTGGCTTCGAAAGATATAGATATTTACAACGAATATAGTTATAGTTTTTAAGGGTTCGATATTATGTACATATCTATTATAACACTATTTTTGTTCCAGCCTTATATAGAAGAAATTTATAATCATCTAAGGGATGAACCGTTTAAGAAATTTTTAGAAAGGTGAGAAGTAATGTTAGTATACTATTTTTTTTATTTTATGCCACTATTGTTTTATTACTGTTATTTTGTGCACTAGAACTTATTTTAAATTTTAACATTATACAGGGTGTTTCAGAAAGACCTCCCGTAAATACAGGGGTGATGGTACGACAAAAAATAAGAATTTTTTTGTCTTATGAACTATATGTCTATCTACTCTTGTTTTCGAGATACAGAGCGACAAAATAAAAATTTTTAAATAGAATTTTTACGAAAATTTCCAAACTGTGCGAAATATTTTTATGAAATTTGGTATTCTGGGGTTTTTAAGGATGCCAAATACGCTGGACTAATTATTTTTTGTATATTTCATAGAGGACGCTAGTTATGCTCCATTCCTATTGATTGTTAATGACTGTAGTTAGTAATGACTAATTACAGTCACTAAAATTTTGAAATAAAGTTAATTAGAGTTTGAAATATTACTAAGAATGTATGCGTTGTCTATGAGAAGAAAAGTCACTTATTTTATACACCGTAATATTGTAAGAGCTTTTGGAAAATTTTGGCAAATAAAATTATACATTAGAAAATGGAGCCCGAATGGTAAAAAATCTAACGTTAAAAAAAATTAGAACTTAAAATGTAACAGGAATGTAGCATAACTAGCGCCCTCTATGAAATATCCAAAAATTAATTAGACTAATTTGGCATCCTTAAAAACCCCGGAATATCTAATTTCATAAAAATATTTCCCACCGTTTGGAAATTTTCGTAAAATTTTTAAAAAGTTTTATTTTGTCGCTCTGTATCTCGAAAACAAGAGGAGATAGGCATATAGTTCATAAGACAAACCATTCTTATTTTTTGTCGTACTATCACCCCCTGTATTTACGGGAGGTCTTTCTGAAACACCCTGTATAAGTGAAATGTAACATACAGAATGTGCTATTCTTAAATGTCACTACTAACCAAGGCTTTCAATACGGCCAAATTGTTTAGCAGACGTTACGGATATTAATCGATGCTGTTCAGAACATTAGTCCACAGAGTATTGTTTCCCACAATGTCATTAATTAAAAACTCTTATATTGTAAGTCGGAAAAGAACCATTTTTTGTTTTTTTTTCAAGAAGTACGCTTTTCCGCATCACAAAACAACCAAACTAGATAATTTCTCACAAAACTTAAAACACGACATAAAGTGACATAAGTGTGCCGCAAAAACTTTTCTGCGCTATTCTATACATCAATTATTATAAATGTATGCACAAAGCGTTAGTTACAATTACTCGTACTTAATTCATTATTGACATAGTAGCAGGGCGCACGGCACATGTTTTCACAACTCGGACAAATGTTACGCGTAAAATTAATATATGCCAAAATGGGCAGCAATTATTCTCATATTCAAAATGCTGCAGCAGAAAAAAAATACTTTATACAATAATTAAGTAAGTAATAATTTCAGTAAATGTGAAAAAGTGCAACCGTAGAAAAAGTACCTATAATGTGCAGCTTGTGCGGATGTGCTAATTTCTCACTCGTTTGAATTGCAGCAACTTTTTCAAACTCGTAATAAATTAGCCCTTTTCTGCACTTGTTGACTTTAGTAGTTTTTCAAGTGTTTCTATTTCCAGTCTCTTCAATCTTCCTGTTTTTTTTTCCGAATTGTTCAGTCTCTAGTTGTGTCATTTGTATTTCATAATATGTCTTATGTGTTTTTTCGAAGTATTATTATAGCTTATTGCAATACAGTTGATAACTGTCGGACACAATAATTGTCTGTAATACATTTTTTGATACTTTGTAAAATACAAACGATGTTTTCTGAGAGTCATTTTAAACTTTCTGGGATATAATTAAATCTTCTCAAATCGAATTGACGAATTATGAAATTTAATTAACATTTCCTCAATGTTATCGAATACAATTGAAGTAAATATAGAATTACAAGAAAATTCCTATGCGAAAATCATGAAGAACATCTTATTTTCACTCTGCACCCCTTTATCTCTAATTTTAAAGACGACCCTCGCCCTTTCCTCAGACTGTCTACCCCGAAGCGCCCCCCCGGCGTGAACCCGAGCAAAAAACCAACTAATTACGAACTTTCCGCAAACCGCGCGATGGGGTGCACATCAAAACAACCGAATTAGGGTTTGTTTGATTTTAATTCGCCCGAACCCGTACAACTTTTAATTGCGGGACGTGTTTATTACATAATTTTATAAACGTGTATTCTGTTAATTAAACAGCCGACTGCGGCGGCTCGTTTGCACCCCGCGCCGCCCCGCCTCGTCACCGATATACGCGTCCGTATTGTAGACCATGTCCATTTGGATAATAAAAACACGGTATTGTTGATTCTAATTAATTAAAAGGCTTTAGTTGCGTGGTTTTCCAGCGCGTGTGAACGCAAAATGTAATGTTAGGTATTTGCGTTTCATTCATTCAGGATACACCAATGTGGGAAACCGAGAAAACCTGAAATTATCGGGGAATTTCATAGATCAGGAAACGTCAGAGAAATATCAGGGAAATTTTAGAATTTTCAGGGAATTTTTTCAAATTTCGATTGTAATCGTGTTATTTACGAAATGCTGGCAGTGGATGTCATTAAATTATTTCGTTAATATTGACGTTTCCAGTTCAATCGAATTAGATTTATAAACCCTGAAAACATGTTAATTGTTAATTAATTATTGGACGTATCGGACTAGTTATTATCGACAATTAAAGAAATGGTTAAAAACTTTATTCTACTAATTTCGCTGGCAACACGAGACACAACCGAGCAGGAACTAGGCTTCAAGACTTCTGATTCGTGCCTCGAAATGTTTTCGGTTTTTATCATTGTCCCAAGGTATCTACTTTTATTACCCTATCCTAATTAACATCTATCCGGGTCATTACCTACTCGGTTTGTGCTTATGTACCCTAATAAACAACAACTAATTTATGTTTACAGCCTACTTATTCTAATCTCATTTGCTAAATATATTTAGTTAGGATAATCTCGGATAATTCAAAGTATAATTTATATGGCTCGTAAATTCCCAGAAAGCAAAATATATTTATTGGGGCAGGTAGTAAATGTAATTGTAGCGTACCGCTACACATGTGATTTTTTTTATTACCGTAAAAATAAGCTCTATTTAATGCAAAAAGAGTGAATTCCCGAGCGGGATTTTGTCTGATCCTGGGACAATTTGTTTATAATGCTGTTTCGATAGGTTTTTTTTTTAATCAATTAACTTCTAAAATTAACGTTTAGTAATTAAACAATTACATGGTTGCAAAAAGAGAACGAAATTAATTAACAAATACCTGGAGCAACAATTTCACGGTCAATCGAATCGACCTTTGACACATATGTTTTTTCATAAACTTCATCAACATTCATCGCTTTTTGCAATTGCAATGCAATACAATACGCAATTTTCGAAAACTGTTTTTCCGCGTTCGACCTTCATTTTACAGTTAACAAATTGGTGAAATATGAAATATTAAAATTGTAGGTAATTTAATTGTAACATAAAAACAAATTTTCCAATAGGTCGTCTAGATTTTCATGGGCAGAAAAAAAATGAGAAATCACGTAATTTTGCAAATAATTTTTTGACGTTTGACTGGACTAATAGAGTGTCCTAAATTTGATAAACCAAAAATAAAATTTCTCAGAATGAGAAAAAGTTCCCATAAATATAGACCAAAAAATGCATTTTTTCCCCGAGATAAAGGGTTCCAAGGCTTTCTAAAAGGCTTTCTAAATATATTCATTTACACTGGTATGTAATTTTTATTTGTATAAGATAAAATGAAGAGTCTAACTAAAACTTTTACTTTAAGAAAACTTTAAAAAATGTTGGATTTTTATTTAAATTGTCCATTTCCGATTACAAACAATTTAAGCTGTTAGTTATGTAGATAAAAAGAACAAAATTTAATTACAGTATTTATTATTCAGTAAAAATGAAACGATTCTGTCTAAAAAAGTACAAATTGAATGTTGATCTTAAATAAGCGGCTCTCATCATCGAAAACAAAGTAAAGCAAGCGCCTGAATAATTCTGATGCGTCTTTACATGTTTTGAATACATTTAAAAATATATATTTTCGGGTTCAACTTGAACACCCTGTATGTCGAAAAGTGATCACCCATAAGCCATAATAGAATTTTTTGGCTAATTAAAATAAAGTAATACCGCTAGACTAAAAATTCCCCAATATATCTAGATTGCCCTTATTTAGTTTTAAGATAAGCAAAAATTAATATTTCCTATTGTCAGGTAAAAATGTTTTCAATTTGGTAAAAATAAGATTCAAGTTTTATAGCGGCCACTGTATAATTTTTTAAATAATGTTTATGCAAGAGATATAGACAAAAAATTTGGAAAATGGCGGAAAATTTTGATAATCATAAAAAAGCGGACTAATACAGAACATTTTAGCCATGAAATTTTTTCAAATCTTCCTGAGACAGTTGAAAACAGGGAAATTTTTGGTTAAAATTTGGTATACAAATAACAAATAACACTACCGAGGATACAAAAACTTGCATTTGACAATTAGGTAATACTAATTTAACTTGAACAGAAAAAGCTTGTTTATTTCACAATATCACGATCTGAAATCCGATTCTGTATGAATGCCTCTCTGCCGTTCAACCTGTTTCGACCAATAGTTTCGCAACAGCACGCATTTGATCATTATTTACACAGTACGAATATGCCAGCAGCGGGATATAGAAATTACAAAAAAAGTTTTAAAAAATCGTTTTCACGGCATAATTTGAGAAAAGAAAAAAACTTATAACATGCGTTTCTAAAGGTCAAAGTTATGTCATCGATTATTGCTGGAGCCATTAATTCCAATCTTTTGTTTTTGAAAATCAGTCCAAAAATGGCGGAATTATAATTTAATACGGTTTTTACGAGACACCTGACATATACGTTTAACTAATAATATTGTAGTAAGCAACTACTCTCTGGACTACATACCCCGTCCAACATTGAAAGTTACACCCGCAATGTCTATTACACAGCTCAGATCATTCGTGAGCGTGAGCAGAATCTCCAGGCTTCTAATTTGTTAGTTTTCTTCAGTATATTATAGTCCAATCAATCTGTCACGGCCTAATGTTGAATTTACAAAAAATATACCTAGAAACAAAAAATATGGTGATATAGGAAAAAAAATTCTACGTAAGATAGTGTTTTTTTTCTGTGGCGCATAAACGGCGAAGTTAACATAAAAATTCATAAAAGTCGAAGAAAACGATTTTTCGCTAATAGCAAAAAAAAACTTGAACTGCAATCGAAAAAAGTTAAATGAATTTATGAATTTTTTAGGTTAACTTCGCCGTTTATGCGCGACAGGAAAAAAACACTATCTTTCTTAGAAATGTTTTTCCTACATTACCATATTTTTTCTTTCCAGGTGGTATTTTTTGTGAATTTAACATTACGCCATGACAGATTGATTGGACTATTATAGGAGAGACGACCAACCTACAAACGAATTAGTGTTTGTGAGATATAACCTAGAAAATATAAGATATGACATATACTTTGTTATATCTCACCTACACCCTGTATATATCACCAACTAATATTCCGCCGTTTCGAAATCAATCCTAAGCAGACTAAAACAGACACATCATTAAGAACAGCTTAACAGCTATGATTGCACTTAACATACGCGAACTCCGTAAAAATTACACCATAAAACCGTTGTTAAAAAACCGACGTTCCCGCGGTGATAATACGTAAAACTTGCCTCGGGAACGTAATGAGTTTTTCACACCGAAATTACACCGGTAATTTTCGCCACTGGCCCCCCCCGGGGTTTTTTTCCCCCAGAACAAGGCCGGCTTATGTAATTAGCGTTGCGCATCATTTGCCTCTCCCGGGAGCTGCTGAGAGGCGGTTAAATTAATTTAAAAATTCCTCTCGCAACGTCCGTCTGCCAGCAAAAGAGAAAACGAAAGCAGAAATGGAGTCTTTAATCGTATTTTTTTTAAATCATGATCTGGTTTGCTGCAAAAATGTGTTAATTTACAACACAGCGTAGGTACTATATTTGCGGTACATTTACATGTTTACGTAAAATGTAAATGAACGGACTCTCAAAAATTTTTCATGGACCTCACCATAAAATGCAGTTTTACGAACTCATTGGTGGACGAGAAATGTCATGTCGCTATAACGTATGACATTGAAAAAGGGGCGTTATGTAATTGCGTCCGTAAAATAATATAACTCTAAAAAATAATACTAAGCCAAAGACAGCCTAAATTCGTCCATAAATAACTATTTTCGCTCTCGGGCTAAAGTAACTTTTTAATACAACTGTCAGTAATGAACATATTAAAATATAAACAATTTACTTTTCGTACTAATGTGAATGTTAAATTTTATATACTGCAGAAAAAATATTATGCTTATTAATGAATTTAGAATATACAGGGTGGTCCGAATTTTATGCAGGAAACTTCGAGGGCATATAGATCTCTTTAAAATAATAGGTGTTTGCCTTATAAACATAGGTCTGGAACGGCCTCGTTTTAGAGATACAGGGTGTTGAAGTTGTTAAAAAAATTTGATTTTTTGTTTATATCTCCGGAATCTATTAACCGATCTTAATAAAATTTGGTACAGATAATGTATGACAGTAGGCCTTACATTTCCTAAAATATGAGCTCTAAAGGTTCAACCAGTGGTGTACAACTGGACAGGGTCACCCTTTTTTTATAAAAAAAACCTACGCCACTGTATTTTTTACAATCTATTGTAACGGATTTATATTCTAATGTACAAAATACGTAAAAAAGGTAACGTGAATTTTTTCCCTAAAGTTCACCGTTCTCAAGTTATTCATACGAATACAATCTCCTTGTGGCGGATACTTCTAACCATAATATTACAAGAATATTTATGTTTATGCTTAAAAGTAAGTGCAATTTGTAAGCACATCAACAAAATTCTTTACACTCGTCGCTTTCATCTTTTGGATTAAAACGATATTTGGAAAATCACGACGGCTCAATGAAAGACACAGAAATGAAATTTTAAGAACATTGGGGTGAGTAAATCGAAAATTTGAAAAGTTCTACATAAGGATGGTAGAAATCCGTACTATTTACAACCTGTGCAAAATTTACTTCCGGGAGATGTAGACACACCTGAATTTTTGTTAGTGGTTGTTTTAAAGTCACAACATAATCCAGAATTCTTACTAGAAATACTTTGGACCGATGAGGCTACGTTCACAAGGCGAGGGGTAGTGAATTTTCACAATATTTGGTCACAAGAAAATCCTCATGAAATTCGGATAAGATCTTTTCAACGAATTTTCTGGCTCGGAATAATTCGGACTTTATTTCTTGTCACCCCATCTAAATTCCCAGCATTTCTAAACTTTCTAGAAAACCATCTATTTGAATTATTAGAGGATGTTCCATTAAATATACCACAAAATAGCTGGATACAAATGGATGGTGCTCCTGCGCATTTTAGGAGAATAATACAATAATGGCTTAAAAATTATATGGGGCGATGGATAGGTTGAAGACCAAATGCCAATGTCAACCATAATGGTGCAGAGAATCCAGTCTCTTGGCCAGCCAAATCGCCAGATCTAAACCCCCTGGACTTCTACGTTTGGGGTTACCTATCTGAAAAGTAAAGTTTACTCTACTCCACCACAACTACTGCAGCGAATAGAAGAGGGGTGTAATGAATTAAAAGAAAACCACCACATGATATTAGTTAGGTAATTCCATTAATCATTAATAGAAATTGTCAGAAATGTATCGATGTGGATGGTTCGCATTTTGAACAATTGCTGCAAATACGTAACGTTAATTTCATTTCTTGTTTAATTGTCGTTGCTTGGTAAATGTATTTTTATTATTATTTTCATTTAAATTGTCCTTATTTGTAAAGATAGTGGATTAAGCCTCCAGGAGAAACTAAAATACACTAGGAACACTACCTCACAGGTGATGTGGAAATAATTTTGTTGATCTGCTTACAAATTGCACTTCCTTTTAAGTATAAACATAAATATTCTTGTAATATTATGGTTTGAAGTGTCTGCCACAAGGGGTTTGTATTTGTATGAATAACTTGAGAACGGTGAATCTTAGGGAAAAATTTCAAGTTACCTTTTTTACGTATTTAGTGCATTAGAATATAAATCCGTTACAATAACTTGCAAAAAATACAGTGGCGTAGTTTTTTTTATAAAAAGAGGGCGGCCCCTGTCCAGTTGTACACCACTGGTTGAACCTTTAGAGCTCATATTTTAGGAAATGTAAGGCTTACTGTCATACATTATCTATACCAAATTTTATTAAGATCGGTTAATAGATTCCGGAGATATAAACAAAAAATCAAATTTTTTTAACAACTTCAACACCCTGTATCTCTAAAACGAGGCCGTTCCAGACCTATGTTTATAAGGCAAACACCTATTATTTTAAAGAGATCTATCAGCCCTGGAAGTTTCCTGCATAAAATTCGGACCACCCTGTATACCTATACCTATACTTAATTTTTGTATGATATTTTGTTTCAGTGAGAAGTATACTAGGTTTTGTCAATGGAAAAATTTAGAATTAAATATACAGGTAAGATTTCACTTTTAATTTTTGATATATAATTATTTAGATGCTGGTTTTGACAGAAAAAAATCGAGTTTTTGTTTTTCCAGGTAAATTCAGGACATCTATGAGATTTGACAAGAATATTTCACGAACCTTATAAGTAAATTTCACTATATTTTGATTTCAATAAAATTTAAAAAATGCTTTTCTATCAGCCCGTCTCTATTTTGAAAAACAAAAATTTATTATATCTCTGAAATCACGTTAGCTATGCAACTCGGGATTCCTATTTTAAACTCCGAATTTCGATTTTAAACTTGAAATTCCAACTTCGGACTCAAAATTCTAATTTTAAACTCGGAATTCCGATTTTAAACACGAAATTTTGGTTTTGAACTCCTAATTTCGAATTTAAACTCGGAATTTCGGATTTAAACTTTGAATTCTTACTTTAAACTTGAAATTTCAATTTTAAATTCGGAATATTTTCTGACTTTGAAATCGAAATTCTGACTTTAAACTCCAAATTTCGGTTTAAACTCTAAATTCCAACTTGGAACTCAAAATTTTAATTTTAATCTCGGAATTCCTACTTTATACTCGACATTAAACTCAAAATTTCAACTTTAAACTTAGAATTTCTACTTTAAATTCGAAATTTCAATTTTAAACTCGGAATTTTGACTTTGAACTATTTCTATTTTAAACTCCGAATTTCGATTTTAAATTCGAAATCCCAACTTCGGACTCTATTCTAATTTTAAACCCAAAATTCCGATTTTAAACACGAAATTTTGACTTTGAACTCGGAATTCTTACTTTAAACTTTCAATTTCGACTTTAACCTCGGAATTCCGGCTTTAAACTTGGTATTCTTATTTTAAATTCGAAATTTCAATTTTAAATTCGGAGTTTTTTCTGACTTTGAAATCGGAATTCCGAATTTAAACTTCGCATTTAGATTTAAATTCTAAATTCCAACTTTGAACTCAAAATTATAATTTTAAACCCAGAATGCCTACTTTATACTCGACACTAAACTCGAAATTTCAACTTTAAACTTAGAATTCCTACTTTAAATTCGAAATTTCAATTTTAAACTCGGAATTCTGACTTTCAACTCGGGATTCCTATTTTAAACTCGGAATTCCGATTATAAACACGAAATTTTGACTTTGAACTCGGAATTTTTACTTTAAACTTTCAATTTCGACTTTAACCTCGGAATTCCGGCTTTAAACTTAGAATTCTTATTTTAAATTCGAAATTTCAATTTTAAATTTGGAATATTTTCTGACTTTGAAATCGGAATTCCGAATTTAAACTTCGCATTTCGATTTAAATTCTAAATTCCAACTTTGAACTCAAAATTATAATTTTAAACCCAGAATTCGTACTTTAAATTGGAAATTTCAATTTTAAACTCGGAATTCTGACTTTCAACTCGGAATTCCTATTTTAAACTGCGAATTTCGATTTTAAACTTGAAATTCCAACTTCAGACTCATATTTATAATTTTAAACTCGGAATTCCGATTTTAAACACGAAATTTTGATTTTGAATTCGGAATTTTTACTTTAAACTCCTAATTTCGACTTTAAACTCGGAATTTCGGCTTTAAACTTATAATTCTTACTTTAAACTCAAAACATCAATTTTAAATTCGGAATATTTTCTGTTTGAAATCGAAATTCTGACTTTAAACTCCGAATTTCGATTTAAACTCTAAATTCCAACTTTGAACTCAAAATTCTAATTTTAATCTCGGAATTCCTACTTTATACTCGACATTAAACTCAAAATTTCAACTTTGAACTTAGACTTCATACTTTAAATTCGAAATTTCATTTTTAAACTCGGAATTCTGACTTTGAACTCGAGATTCTTACTTTAAACTTCGAATTTCGATTTGAAACTCGACATCCCAACTTCGAACTCAAAATTCTAATTTTAAACTCGAAATTTTGGCTTTAAACTTGGAATTTTTACTTTAAACCTTTAATTTCGACTTTAAACTCGAAATTTGAATTTTAAATTCGAAATGCGAACTTTAAACTTGAAATTTCGATTTTGAACTTGTAATTTGTACTTTAAAATCCGAATATCGACTTTATACTCGGAATCCCGAATTTTAAAAAATCAGAATTCTGAGTTTAAAGTACAAATTCCCAGTTTAAAGTAGAAATGCTGATTTTGGCCACGGAGGTTTTTTATTAAATAAATTAGACCGATTCTTCTGCGGCGTCGTGTATCCCCACAGAAAACTATGTATTTAAAACAACATATCCTGTCTCTTGGTTATGTTTGGCACCATATTTTAGAAACTTCAGTATAACAAACCGACATTATTTTTCAAAGTTCCGTCGTTTTCCGAAATCTGTATACATTTAAAGAGAATCACTCCGCACGAAACGAATTTTTCCAACATTTATTGACACTGAAAGTGTTAGGTCAGGTAGCAACTAACTAGTCATTTACAGACGAAGCGCTAATCTCGAATTTCCCATTGCAGCTGTCGATGAATGACTTCAGCGTACACCGGATCATCGGCAGGGGCGGCTTCGGCGAGGTGTACGGCTGCCGGAAGGCCGACACCGGCAAGATGTACGCCATGAAATGCCTGGACAAGAAGCGCATCAAGATGAAGCAGGGCGAGACGCTGGCCCTCAACGAGCGCATCATGCTCTCGCTGGTCAGCACGGGCCAGGACTGTCCCTTCATCGTCTGCATGACGTACGCCTTCCACACGCCCGACAAGCTGTGCTTCATCCTCGACCTGATGAACGGCGGCGACCTGCACTACCACCTCAGCCAGCACGGCGTCTTCAACGAGTCGGAGATGAAGTTCTACGCGGCGGAGGTCATACTAGGTAGGTTGGACTGAGGTAGAGCTTCGCTCTTTCTGACAAATTGTTTGCTTTGACTTGAAGGCAAACTAAAGCCATTGTCTTCCCGATGTTAGCAACTGTTTTCGAAAAGCTCTAATAGGTCCATTAGTCCATATTAATTTATCACGTTTTTAAATTTTCTGTAAGCATATATCCCCGTAAATATACGGTGAAAAAATCAGGTCGATAGATTTAATATTAAAACCGTGATAAATAATTTCTGATTCGTAAAATGTTTCAAACGGTCCAAATCGTCGCAGAGCATTTATGACGTCACACCGTTCGATTATCTCGACCCGATGCGATGCCTCTATGCGCCATTAGTCATTGTCTCAAGTTATTTATTTGTAGTATAGTGTAAATTGTTTCCCTTATTTGTGGTACAGTTCTAGTAATAGGCCAGTCATTATAGTTTTTTTTCGGGAAAATACTATTAGAAGTTTCTCTGCGGAATATTGTTCAGAAACGTGTTATAAACAAAATATCAAAAAGTCAACTCGAGACTAGTTGGGAAACTTTGTTAAAACAAAGGTCAAAGTTATGGAAAAGTGTTTTTTTGACTCGCGTAGAAAATCTGTTATTCATAGAGAAAAGGGGTTTATACAAAAAAGGTAGATATTAAATAAATCTGTAAAATAAGATAAGTCCGATTAAATTCCGATAATTTGTTTATACGCAAGAGCTCAAAAATGGTCGAAATTGTCCGCTTTTTTCAATTGCTAATAATTAATGCAATTTTCATCGCAGACACTTGTAATTCACGATTTTTGGGGCTTTTTGCACCCTTAATAAGTGGTAAAAATTTCAGCCCAATAGCTTCATTAGCTTGGCGTTGGCGGGATTTGTTATCTAAGAAGATGCTATTTTCAATTCATTTTTCCCAAGCTCACAGGCGTTGTAGAGCTTCGATCATTAGTTGTTTTTGTACCTAAATAGTTGTATTGACATCAATTTACTGAGAATAGGCTTATTTAATACCTACCTTTTTTGTATAAACTTTTTTTCGGTATGAATAATAGTTTTTTTATGAGTCAAAAAACAACTTTTCCATAACTTTGACCACTGTTAAAACAAAGTTTCCCAACTAGCCTCGAGTTGATTTTTTGATATTTTATTTATAACAGGTTTCCGAACAATATTCTTCTAATAGTATTTTTTATCATGTCTATAATGACTGGGCTATAAGTTTTTTCCTAATTATTGATATTTTTTCCACCTGTGAAAAAAATTAAAACATTAAAAATAAAAAAAAATGTTGAAGTTATTTTTGATGCATGGTTATGCATCTTGAAGTCAAAGATAATTTGTTTTTACATATGAAGCACTATAAAAATGATTTTATATATTTCATAACAGAAGTTTTTGGGATTTTTCGAAATTTTTTGTGTAGATGTATATTTAGGGTTTTTTGAGGTACTTATATTAGAGAATTACGACGTTTTGAAATATTTAAATACAGATGTTTCTGGGCGTTTCTCCTGTTTTTTGTAAACTTTTGAAAATTTTCTATAACCTTATGTATCTTTTCACAATTTTCTAGTACTAACTAGCACTCCTCCCAAACACAATTTCTCGGCTAGGAATCTCTGTAGTTTAAAGGAGACAAAAATTTCAATAAAAATCACATAACGACCTTGTACTTATAATTAAATTATATTACGCATAACGTAAAAGCCATCAACTAAGGCTAATCTGGTTACAGAACTTGTATGCCAGAGCAGATGTATGTATAAACCCATCTTGTTGCTGAAATTGTAGTGTCAGGAGAGTATGTTGCCACTTGCACCCATGAATTATGTATATCTGATATGTTCATATTTGCATACATGTAGCTACATCATCCGGTGATTTAAAGGACAATAAATTATTTTACCAGTTAACATTGTGCTAGTACCAGTAGTAGGGACAACTCATTGTCTTCACCGTAACGATATATTGAATCCCTGCCACAATATGAATAGTTAAAGTAAAGTATAACAGTCACCTTTTAGGAATTTTAAATAAGGGTAATTTAAATCTGAGTCAGATCAACAAAGAGATGTTAAGTGTTTAAACTATACTCTGCGGTCGAAATTATAGAGAGTGACTCATCGCTAGCTTTTTGACTAGTAAGGGGGATGAAGCGTGCTGGGAACGAAAATCCATTGGCGTGTCTGCGTAAAAGGCAACAAGATATAGAAAATATTGAAAAAAGATAATAAAACATAACATCTAATATTTTTTTACGGTTTGCTATAACCTGCACCTTGATCCATTTTAATTATTACAGCATTTTAAAACGTCCCAGTTGTGTTTTTTGTAATTTATAAATTTATTATAGCCATGGAATTAGACCCCTCGTTTACGCTTATGCTATGACGTTTCTCAGGACGGCTAAATCAAGTCCGTTTACACCCACTAAAAAAGCATTTCCCTATTCTCTACCAAGGGCAAAAGACAGAGATAGAATATAGATCGACGTTCAGTGTAACTCGGTCTCTAGACGATTATAGATTCTATCGATGTGCGTAGCGAGCGGCACAAAGATAAATAATATTGAACCGTTATAAAAATCATTTTATATTTTATGCACATTATAGTAATAGTGTATTTATATTATGTCTTAGTCACTCTCTATAATTTCGACCGCGGAGTATACAAGATATAATTTCTTAAAGACCTTATAATTCTTAAGTAAAGTAACTTGGACTGAGATATACAGGGTGTAAGAAGTTTGACTGCCATAACTTCAGCATGAGATAGAGTAATCATAATTGAACAAAAAAGTTGTATATTACAGGCCGTCTTATAAAAAACGCCCCAAGCTGTAACTCTGTTAATAATTGTTCTATTTAAAAAAAAACAAAAGACTGTTGTTAATAGCTTGACAAATACTACAATCGAGCACTGATTTTAATTTTTTTGCCATCATCAGAACGTTAGGCGATTTTCAATTGTTTATTTTTTTTTAGGCCTGTTCGATAGAATATTTTTTCTGCAGTCAACGATATATTACAACTTGATATTTGTTAAATATTTTATGGAAAAAAATGTTTTTACAACTTTTATTATGCTGTCTAAAGTAACAACAACAAAGCAAAACAAATAGATACCAGATCAACAACAAAGCAAAAATGTAACAATAAAAAACCTTATAAAAATTGTTCGAACTGTCTTCCATCTTGTTGAATACATAATTGACATCTTCTACCTACCTCATACGTAGCATTTGACATTAAGTTAGGAGGTATTTCACGGCAAACGTTTATAATCCTCTCTCTTAAAATATCTACATTTTCCGGATGTGTCAAAAATACTTGATCTTTAAGATATCCCCAAAACCAAAAATCTGCGGGGGTGAGGTCAGGAGAACGGGCGGGCCATCGAACAGGACCAGTCATGCCAATCCATCTTTCATCAAAATTAGCATTTAACCAATTAGTATTTCTTCTAGCATTATGCGGGGAAGCACCATCTTTTTGAAAATAAATCCTATACACTTCTGCAAGCGGCAAGGTATCCAAAAAGTTTGCAAGATTACGAGGAATTAAAAAATATTTAACAAATATCAAGTTGTAATATATCGTTGACTGCAGAAAAAAACACTCTCTCGAACAGGCTAAAAAAACTAATAATAACTTGACATTTAAGAAAAAACAATTGAAAATCGCTTAACGTTCTGATGATGGCAAAAAAAAATTAAAATCAGTGCTCGATTGTAGTATTTGTCAAGCCAATAACAACAGTTATTTGTTTTTTTAAACAGAACAATTATTAACACAGTTACACCCTGTTATAGGGGTGTAAGATTAACTGTTTTCAAAATAGGGCGATTAATATTGAGGAGTTTCATCACAACGTGACAACACCGCTTAACCTGCTGATGCACACCACGCGGCACGCGGCAGACTTGTCCTACGGAAAAATTGTAAACAACTATCATTGTGAAACATTTAGTAAATTTCAAGACAATTGTTTTCCAGTTTTTAAATAAATAAAATAAAATTTTGATAATTTTTTCTCAGAAATGGATGAGTTTAGGACCCATGTCATATAAGGTTTTTTTGTTTATTTTAATGTATTCTGTCGTGTGTTAAAATTAAGGCAGTCAAATTTCTAACCCCCTGTATTATAGACAATTATAATTTTGAGAGTTCAATTATCACTGCAAGCATTTTGTGCTTTTTTTTCATCAATCAACTGATGTTTTACACAATGTTTTTCCTCAAATTCCTACATATTAATTTTTGTTTACAGTACAGTCAACGAATTTGATTTTTTGTTTTTCATAAATTTATATTGCGCAACATGTTTTCAAACGTATGAAATCTATAAATAAAATAATAATCAAATACATGACTGGATGTAAAAACATCGTGAATAAAAAAATGTAACTTTACACATCAAAATCAACAACTCGCAGGGATATATAATGAAGTTTTTCTGAGTAGGTGTGCGTAGGTGTACACTTCCCCGGAAAATGATACACGAATTTGACTGTTTCTTTGATGTTCTGAAGCATCGTTATACGAATGAAATAAAGTGAGGAGTTATATGTTTTGAGGAGAGCGTGTTACAATCACTTCGTTCACACTGAATAAACTCAATATACAACAATCGGAAATATAAATCAAAACACTGTTTTATTCTCATGTTTCTGATTTTGAAAAATTAGATTCGCGGGACCTGAATATTGTTTCGTTTGTTCATACGTCAATAACGTGGTTTGAGTTTTATTAAAGACCTTTTCTTTTATATTAAATCAATGAAGTGAAGTTTTTGTGATAAAACTGTATTTTTTTTTTAGGTTTGGAGCATATGCATAGGAGATACATTGTATATAGAGATTTAAAACCTGCAAACATACTACTAGACGAACACGGACATGTTCGGATATCCGATCTAGGATTAGCCTGCGATTTTTCCAAGAAAAAACCCCATGCCAGTGTGTAAGTAGCCATTTCGATAATTCTTTTTGCCAACATTTTCTCGAATTTAGTCCAATTTCTAAAATAAAATGATCCCACATTAAAATTTTTAAAATGGTCAATTTAGATAGGTGGCACCAATTTATTTTTTAATGTTTGTATTTCGTCCGCAATTCTATTTCCAAATTTCTCGGAATGATTTGTGAATGCCTCGATTTATTCGGAACGTTTATTTCAGAGGTACCCACGGCTACATGGCGCCTGAAGTATTATCAAAAGGTACCGCGTACGATTCCAGCGCAGACTGGTTCAGCTTCGGCTGTATGTTATACAAATTACTCAAAGGTCACTCGCCATTTCGCCAGCACAAAACCAAAGATAAGCACGAAATAGATAGGATGACTTTAACGATGGTAAGACGCTCCCTTTCTTCGCTCTCTGCTTCTACTGACGCTTTTCCATTGTTATTTTCAGAACGTCGAACTGCCCGATTCATTTAGCAAAGAACTGAAGTCTCTTCTGGAGGCGCTGTTGCAGAGGGATATCGATAAACGGCTAGGATGCAAAGGAAACGGGTAAGACGATGGTTTTTTTTTAGGTTTTTTTATATCCTCTAGCATGTTAAGTAATAAATTTATTTATTTCAGTTCGGAAGAAGTGAAGGAGCACCCCTTTTTCGCGGGTATAGACTGGCAACAGGTGTACCTGCAGAAATATACTCCGCCACTTATTCCGCCAAGGGGAGAGGTCAATGCGGCGGATGCGTTCGATATTGGGTCTTTCGACGAGGAGGATACCAAGGGTATCAAGGTAAGTAGAACAAAATTATTACACGGCTGTAAAATTAATAACAATTGCATGTCTTAATATTGATTTTAGTTGACTGATGCGGATCAAGAGCTATATAAAAATTTTCCACTTGTGATATCGGAAAGATGGCAAAACGAAGTAGCAGAAACAGTATTTGAAACGGTTAATTTTGAGGCTGACAAAACGGAACACAAGAAGAGGGCTAAACAGAAGAAGCTGTATGATCTAGATGAAAAAGGTGAGCAAATAGAAAACATTTAAAAAGGAACAAACACATGTTTTAAAAAAAAAATTGCACAGTATCTAAAACGAAATAAATGACGATTGTAGTCTCATATACTTAACATAGTTTAACTTGCTGATGCACACCACTTGTGCACGGGGCAGACTTGTCCTACGGAAAAAATGTAAACATTATTTATGCATTTCACTATCAATGTAGTATCATTTAGTAAATTTCAAGATAATTGTTTTCCAGTTTTTAAATAAATAAAATAAAATGTATCGATTTTGTAGTACGATGATAGTGTTGTGCTTAAATTTTAGCTCGAATTTTAGTAATTAAAACAGAACTTAACTTTTAATCAAATTACGTATTTGCAAAATATGTAATTAAAGTACCCAAAGACTCACGTCGTCCACATAATCATACGTATTAAAAATAATTTAGGTACTTACCAAAAAGCAAAATTTGAATCCAATTTTTGCGCACTTGCTGGAAAATACGCCAAGGAAAGGAAATAGTGGTACGCAAAAAAACACTCAGACACGGTCCAATTCCAGATACCAACTGAATTGCGTATTGCTGAACAGCTTAGTACCTCTTGTTATCCGCCGCGCCGTTGTCACATCGCTCAATATGAATTTTATTGAATTTTAAATTTATTACAACGCTAATTATTATTTAGAATGAAGCAAAAAGAAGTTCAAAAAAGTGATAAACATTGTATTTTATGGTATTCTATGCATGCAGTTATGTCAATATTCCTTAATTAATCGAACTTTTGAGCATTAAGTTGGAGATTTTAATAATTTTTTTCTCGGAAATGGCTGAGTTTAGGACCCACGTCGTATAAGTTTTTTTTTGTTTATTTTAATGTATTCTATCGTCTGTTAAAATTAAGGCAGTCAAACTTTTAACACCCTGTAGCCTGTGTCATATGATTTTTATTTTATACAATTTTTAGGTCAAGATTCTCATCAGTTATCTAAAGTTATGCAGGGTGTTTTGAAAATAGATGTCATACATGTGTTAATAGAACATCAAAAAATCTTCATATCGTCTTTTGGGTTTGACATAAAGATTTCTTAAAATAAAATCTTGGTCACACCTTTTTTAAAATACAGTGTATTGCATTGAAATTAAGTGCAGTTGGTTTTCTTAGTTTTCTAATAAATTGTAGAGGTCGCTAGTTGCGATCTTGCTCAGTTTGAAGATAACTTTTGTAAGGTTGAGTATTCGGCATTACATCTTTTTTTACTCTACATTTTACATTTTTTTTACTCTACAAAAAAGGTACTCTTGTTAACTACAGCGAATGTGCCTATTTCGAACCTATTTCTATTCATGATCGTTGTTTTTTTAGGTACGTCTGTCAAATTGAATTTGTTGTAGTTTTCTTAAAAACGATGCTGTTTCTGTAATTTTCACAAGAGTACTTTTCAGTGTAAAATGAATTTTTAATAAAATTGTAATGCAGAAAACCTAACCTAAAGAATTATGTCGTAAAATATAACCGAGATACTTTTATTATTTAAAAAAAGTTACCTTTGCCATATTTCAATGCAATTGCACTTTGTAAAAGATATAACCAAGCCCATGATACATAGCAAGAAATCGTTTTATTTTGACATGGTCTATCAGCCCTTAAATTTTTAACGTTTTTGAAAAATGCCCTGTATATAGTTATTATCAAAACGTGAGACAAAAATATTGACATATCGACGTATATTTCCAAACATTTAACAACAAAATTAATCTTTCCAGCCTGACTAATGTACAAATTTGACTTTTTAGAATCGGATTGTATATTACATGGGTACATAAAGAAACTGGGAGGGCCATGGACGTCAAGTTGGCAGATGCGATACGCCAAATTGTACCCGAATAGGTTAGAACTTCATCCGGACTCAGCTAAGCCCGAATTAGTGTTCATGGATCAAATAGAGGAAGTCAGCCCGGATCTAGTGCAAGTCAAGAACGAGAACTGTATAGTCGTCAGGATGAGAGATGGAAAGATAGTCCTCACCAATCCCGTAAGTAGAAGAGATTAGCTTTGTCGCGACAAAAACAGCTTTTAGCGGACAAAAATTGAGAAACTAGGTCTTAAGAGGGCTCTATAGCAAATAGCCAACAAGTAATAAATTTTTATAGATTTTATTACACAGTTTGTCTAAATATGAATTAATGAACAAATAACAGACTTTATCCCATTTTAACGTTGATTTTTTATAAAATGGAGTTAGTTTGAGACTCAAATTACTTTTTTGTTGTAAAGAAATTTGTAATTAACCACTTTTGAGCAAGCGACATCATAAATTACGAATTTTTTTACACCAAAAAGTTGAGTTTCAAACCAACTCCATTTTATAGAAAATCTGCGTTCAAATGGCATAAAGTCTGTTATTTGTTCATTAATTCATATTTAGACAAACTGTGTAATAAAATCTATAAAAATGTATTGCTGGTTGGCTATTTGCTGTAGAGCCCTCTTAAGTGTTATCGGTAGCGATATTATCAGAAGGGCAAGGAACTGTTAAAAGTTGTAACATGTTTAAACTTTTGTCTTGTGCAACAATTTTTTTGTTTTCTGTAAATTCACAACAAAAATCCCCTTTATAATTCACAGTACGATCAGGACAGTGCTCATAGAATTACGTTTTCAATGACAATGCAGACTCGAATCGTCTTGAAATATACACACATTCAGAAATCTACTACAATAAGCATATGCCTGAGCACACCTATATGATGTCACCACTTTGAAAAATTTTTCCAGTTTTGGAGGTTTTGTGGATTAAAACATCAAAACTGTTACTTTTTTTATATTAAAAGTGGCCCCTCTCTCTCGCTACCTCGCTTCTACTCTTAAAAGGTGCATTTTGCTGGATGAAACGTTAATATTTTTATAAAAACTTTATATTATCAAGAAGAAACACATTTGTTATATTTATTTGTCTTAGAATAAGTAAAATGTGAAAATAACACATTTTTTCCACCTGCACGCATATGACAGGAAAGGCAACGCTTAGGCTGGAAACTGACATATCGAAAAATGGAACCATGCGGCGCTTGTCATCTCTTTTTTTTTTGTTCGATTCTTTGACTAGCTGTCACAGAATAACCTAAAATTTTGACGAAAAGTTTGGTCACTAACGATAATCAACAGTTCTTTATGATCAAGTCATATGTCTAATGCTTTTTCCTGTTCCAGGATGAAATAGGCCTAAAAGAGTGGCTCACCTCACTAAAATCGGCGCACAAGCTCTCGCAGGAGCTGCTCGGTTCGATGGCCAAGAAGGCGGGCAAAATCTATGGCACGGACTCGAACAACAGGAACGCCATAATAGCGGCGCGCAACACAAACGGCAACTAATACCAGCTGAAAAATCCTCCCTAGACAGAATTAAATTACCTCCAATTAGTAGGTGAAGAGGAAGGCGATTGTAAATCAGGCTATAAAAAAAATTACCTAGAAGATCTCTGATTCTTGCAATGTTTTTTTAGGCACTATTAATGTTGTTAGACGACCACCGATTAGTTGATTCGCAACCGTTTTATAAATTCGACCGCAGTTGCGAACGGTTTCGTATTTGTTAAACAAAAGGAAGATGAAGTATCATGACAATTTACGTATTTTTGTTATATTTATATTAATTTATGCTGTCTTAGGTATTTGCTTGAGAGCAGATGTATAATGTTATATATATATGGTAGTTATTTTTATAGTAATATTTATTTTGTGTTATGAAAGCAATGAGAAACTGTTCTGTAGTTGGATTAGGGAGTAATAATCGACAAGAGAAAGTCTAAAGACAAAAAAAAAGGACTGATGAACTAAATTATCAAAATTTTTAATTCGAAGGAATTCTTGTTGTTAGGGATTGTAAATTTGTAAGCAAAGTTGCCAAAATAATAGAACGTGTTCGTGAATAGTCTTCGTGTAGTTTATTTTTATATAAAAAAAAAGTAAATATGTAGTCAATCATGCTTGGTGAAAACAAAATTGATTTACCAGTGTGTGACGATCAGAACATATTTAAAGTTGAAATAAAATTCAAACAATTGATAAAACGAGGATTAAACAAATATTTCGTTCGCACTGTTGTATCTTCAATTAAAACGTGTGTAACGCAGTTAACGGCTGTACCCACGGATACAATTAATAAGTTCTTCAGTCACATTAACATGAAATTTCGCTTTCAATGTTCTTAAAAACGCCTATTAAATTCTCATTTATTAATAATACTTCGCCGTTAAAACATCTACTCACATTCCATAATAACGAACAGCATTTCCCGTAAACTTATTACTCTATTATCTAGTCATTTTCATATATATGTATATCCACCAAAAAAAAAAAGTATATACGCGATGCTATAGTAACATTTAGTCGTAGACGTATCATCTACAGAACAGTTTTTCCATTATTTATTCTGTAATTATTGTATCGAATTAAAAACAATTTTATAATTTTCACATGTATCTGAGTAACGTTAACTTGTAGAATTGTTTTTAATAAAATTTTCTTTTTTGTATATTCCTGAACAGTAAAAGGTTCATCTCACTGGTAAAAACACCAAGCTAACAACTTAGAATAGCTTAAAATGCCAGCACTATTTGTACATATATATACTTGCTTCTCTGATTTTTTTTTAACATCGGTTCCAATGGAGACATTCCGACAGTTTGGGCGGTCTGAGGGCGAGTTAAGTCTGGCGTTCCGTGCAATAATTTCAAAAGAATAATTGGAAATAAAAAAGGAAACATCAGACGAACATTCAGTGCTTGAAAGGCTATTTTAACAAGTCTGACCTACTGGACATTTGAACTACTAGGGCAATTTGTCCATATTTTATTAAAAAATCTGGATCATTTAAAAAACTATTAGGCTGAAACTTGGTGTGTTAGATTCGTAAGGAAATCTAATGGGACTTCATTTACTTTTTTTATGATTCCTGGTTATGAAAATATAAACCACTAATGGCGCTGTTCCATAATTTTCTTACAGAGTTATAAATTTATAGTGAAAAAAAAATCACAATATAGCATAACGTTTACAAAAACATTTATATCTGCTTTCTGTGACGTTCTAAGTATATCTGATTAATATATCATTGAATATTAATTGGTTACATAAACTAAAAAGATATATATGTTGAAGGCAATATAGTACAATAAAATTGCTAGAGACAATAACAAAAAGCACAGAACCCTGTATATTGCCTAAAAACATCCACCGGGATATATGTCAGCATATTAAACACTCAGGGGACTCTATCGCAAATAGGCAACCAGTAATACATTTTTATAGATTTTATTACACAGTTTGCAATTTGCCGCTTTTGAACGAGCGACATCGTAAATAACATATACCTTTACACCAAAAACTAATTTGAGTTTCAAACTAAGTCTATTTTATAGAAAATCTGTGTTAGAATGGAGGAAAGTCTGTTATTTGTGCATTAATTCATATTTAGATAAACTCTGTAATAAAATCTATAAAAATGTATTGCTGATTGGCTATTTGCTATAGAGCCCTCTTAATGATAATTTTCGGATTGCTCCCATATTCACAGTTTTAAATTTACAAAAATCACATTAGATCAGCTTGCTTTTGTCTTTCAATTAGTATCGACAGAAAGACTGTTTCGTGATTATCTGCAGAAAAATTTTATGAGTTGCAGGAAAAAGAGGGAGAAAAAGAATAGAGTATAAATTTTTTAATCAATGTTTTCTTATAAAACTAATATTTAGTGGCATGTTGAAAGAGGAAATCTGTTTCAAAAAATGGGCCTAAATATTTCCTGCTAACTACTATTGCAATTTTTAGGGGGGCTTTATAGCAAATAGGCAACCAGCAATCCATGTTTATAGATTTTATTACACAGTTTGTGTAGATATCAATTAATGCACAAATAACAGACTTTCCTCCATTTTAACGCAGATTTATGTCCAAACTCAAATTACTTTTTATTGTAAAGAAAACTGTAATTTGCCGCTTTTCGGCATAGAAAATTACAAATTTCTTTACAACAAAAAGCAGTTTGAGTTTCAAACTACGTCCATTTTATAGAAAATCTGCGGTAGAATGGAGGAAAGTCTGTTATTTGTGCATTAATTCATATTTAGACAAACTCTGTAATAAAATCTATAAAAATGTATTGCTGGTTGCCAGTTTGCTATAAAGCGTTCTAATTTTAAAAATTTATATTGATGACTTTGTTTTGTAGAGTGGAAAATCGGTTACGGAAATATTTTAGAATTCCAATTCTTGTTTTGCCAAATGTTGTCTCTTTAATCGTAGCACATATTCATGTGTATTATTCGTGTCTTTATTTGTTTACATAAATTACACAGACCGACAAAATTTTAAACTAGACACAGGACATACTTTGAAGATTTTTGATGTGCTAAATCCAAATCCGTCCTCAGAATTACTCCATCACATCAGATTTTAGAAATATCTTACTTGGAAAGTGTGAAAAATGTAACGAAATAATTTTATTCTAAAAAACTCATGGCATCTGAAAATATTCTTCAACATTTTCAATACTCATTCTTTTGTTCTTCGAGAAATTGTTTGCTGCAATAGATTAAACACCTAAATTCTCACTAGTTCATCAGGTTTTTACGGTCGCTGATTACGAATCAGAAGTCATAATTACAAAATCCACAATGACGGATCCACTGTAGCGGATAGAATAAAAAATATGTTTATTTAAAATGAGAAAAAAAATGACAGTTTCGTTTATTTTAAGCTGTTAAGCTGGCTAAACAGGCTCTGTACATTTTTGCCGAACATCGTCGACACTATAAGGTTCGTCGTGTCAAATCGTAATCTGCGGCATAAATCGCCGAACAAAATATCTTTAAAAAACTCGACAAGCCACTTGTGCAGAAACGCAGTCTATGCTCAAAACTACTGAACGAATATTTGTACACGCCTGTAACCTGTGACCGGCCTCAGATTGTTGTTATTGCTAAGCCATAGAATAGCACAGAGAATTTGATTTCAACAAAGAATTGGAAAAGAAGAAAAAAAACTATCTTCATTGAACTTATTAAGGAGAAGCTGTGCTTCCCTAGCTTAAGAGGGCTCTACAGCAAATTGCCAGCCAGCAATACATTTTTATAGATTTTTTTACATAATTTGTCTAAATATGAATTAATGCACAAATAACACTTTCTCCCATTTTAACGCAGATTTTCTATAAAATGGACTTTGGAGTTTGAAAATCGAATAGATTAAAGAAATTTTTAATTTACATGCCGCTTGTTCAAAAGTGGCAAATTACAAATTTATTTACAACAAAAAGTAATTCGAGTTTCACACTAACTAAACTAAAAATAATATTTAGACAAACTGTGTAATATAATATCTATAAAAATGTATTGCTAGTTGGCTATTTGCTATAGAGCCCTTTTAAACGGTATACACACCACTGCTATTACAATTTTACGTTTTTATTGAACAATTAACATACGTCTGCTAATTTTAAATGTAAATATACATTTTGTGGTTTCATAACAGTCGGCAATTAGTACGAGCCGGCTAAGTATCCGGATTTTTTTTATAGTAATGCTACAACGAAAACTTGCATGCCTAGACTGTTTGCTACGATTTGGTGACTGTTATAAAGACGAGGCTTAGCCTCAGTACCGTTCAAACTGTCGGTTAAGTTAGCTGCACAATACAAATAATTTATATAATATTAAGTAACTTTAAACTTTGTACATTTTTGTATATAATTCAATTTTCTGTGAAAACTGCATGTATTTGTATTTAGGTAACTCTAATTCTAAATGTCTTTTTTCTTTTTTCGTCAATTAACCGTTATTAAAAACAAGATTTAATAGAGTAAGATTGACTTTTAAGAGATTATTTTAATCTCTACCGTAGGAAAATTTCTTCCATCTAGGTGTGAAAGCTTTCAGATATTATTAGCAAGTTTTGAAAAGTTCGTTTGCAGTTGAAAGAAATCAAGGAAATTTTGCACACATTGTTGTCATCAGGAGAAATATTAAATTTGTCAACACTTCGACACACGACCAAAACATTTGATGAAACTCGATTCTTTGCTACTGACAAAGAAACACCTAACACGTTTTCATTTTTTCTGGCAGCAGTGGAGGACTTTCCCAAGATTGCAAAATTTTTTAAATATTTTTGTATAAAATAATGTTTTGATACGCTGATGGATTAAAGAGTTTTTAAAGCTAAAAATTAATTATTTTTAATATCCATGCACTGCCTTATCGTTTATTCAATATTTATATAGATATTAACAAGAAGAATACAGTTTTTTTTTCAAATAAATAGTAAATTAATTACTAAATATGTACGGTGTTGAAAAGTATTTACAGGCCACAGAATTATTTACCATTTAATATATTCCCGCAAATTGCTCTTTTACATTTAAAATCGACACTTTCTAGGCGTGCCCTGTATATTTGTGGAGAGAAGATGTACATTTTTGTATAGAGTGTGATTTAGATGTTTGTGCCATTTAAATTGTGCAATTTGACATTTTTTTTTACGTTAAAATTTAACAGAAACTTTAAAGTACTGTGTAAATAATCAGTGCTTAGAAGGCTATGTTTAACAAGTCTGACCTACTGGACATTTGAACTACTAGTGCAATTTGTCAAATATTTTGATTTCGTTCTATATATTTAAATTTTTTATTTAGAAAATGCACACGGTATAACTATACATATTTCAGGAATATTAGAGCAACATCTTGTAAAGGTCGAATATTTCTGCACACTGTACGATATATATCTTGCCAATATACAATATTCGAGATGAACAATCAATAGATTTTGATGTTTAGAACAGCAATATAGTTGTTATTTATGTCCTTCTAGTTTTTATTGTACAGGGTGGATTATACGATGCAAGTCAATATAAACACCTTGTATACCCTCGTTGTGTTTATCGATATTTAATTATGTTGTTATGATTAGTTTTTTAAATTCGTAATTGTATCTAGGCCAAATTACTTAAAAAGAAATCGAAATATCTTTAAACACAATCCTTATTTATGTAATTTTGTAACCAAATAGTTTCGTGACTTTTAGTATATTTTTTATAGCAAGTAATCTGACAAATAATCAGTATTTTGACTAATTTATAATGTGGTAGGTACGATTTTCTTCACAGGTTTTCACAGATTCGAGATAACCGTTTATGCATTTAAATATTGACTGAACCCAAAAGCGTGTTGTTGATTTAAAAAAAAACGTGTAGATTTTAATCGTGAAACAAAGAGGTTCGTTCTTAACGTTTGGTTAGAGTTAGATTTTATACAGGGCGTTTGTAAATAAGTGCGAAATATTTTAGGGGTGGTTGCCGAAGTTATTTTGTGAAAAAAAGTTTATATAAACGTAGGTTGAAATATTCTTCGTTTCCGAGATACAGGGTGTTTAAATTTTAATTTCTTATTTATTTTTATTAATTATTTCAGAGTTTTAAAGATATTGACTCGAAATTTGATGGTTGCATTTTATTTAGAAATATTGACAGCAACCTAATAGATAATGTAAAGATAGAAATTAAAAATACTTGCAACAAATTGTTTTATTTTTTTCCCCTCAAAAATGGTGGATCGAAAAAAATTGAGGAGACCAATTTCATTCAGGATTGTTGACGGATTTCTAAAAAAATATCAAAACGGGAAAAAGTCAGTGGCGTTTCATTTTTTTAATTAAAAAAAAGGTTGTGTCATTCTCGCACGAACATCACTGGTGCAAGTAGAAATATTCAGATCACCCCAAAAAATGCACATTTATCCCTCCAAAGCGTTTTTCAAATATCGAGTCAATATTTTTAAGACTGAAATAATTAATAAAAATAAATAAAAAATTAGAATTTAAACACTGTATTTCGGAAACGAATCATATTTCGACCTACGTTTATATGGACTCTTTTTCACGAAATAACTTCGGCATCCACCCACTAAAATATTTTCCACTTATTTACAAATGCCCTGTATAATGCGTGATCCAATATAAATAATTTTTTGGTTTCTATTATTTGTTCAAAATTTATTGAAAGTACATTTGTTAAAAAAATATGTCGATGTAAGATATAGCTTTTAGAAAAAAAAAATAGTTTAAAAATAGCAAATGGTGTATTACACTTAATAAATATGAGTATAATAACACTTTTAGGGTGATATATAGTAGTAATCTAGTAACTACGTATTTCAAATATAAGGTCACCTTTTGTGAGAATTTTGAGCCCTTGATTCTACAAAAGGACCAGTTTTCACTATACTCAATTAATGTTGTTAAGGGAATAAAATGAAACTTATATTGACTTAAAATTCATTTTTTTTTTCGTAAGTAGGTAATATAAATCGTTGCAGTTTTAGTGTAAGAAAGTTTAATTTTTTACAAAATTTTTTTAACTATCTTTTAAGAGAAAGAAGAAAAGAGAGAGAGAGAAAGAGTCATGCAATTGTTTTATATATTCTTCCTACTCAAGAAAATCTTTTCTACAGGCTGTCTCCTAAAAAACGCCACAAGCCATAACTCCATCACTGATTTTAAAAAACAAAAAATTATGTGAAATGGCTCTAAAGACGTGAGCCTATTGGGGCATATTTATTATTATTTTTTTTTTTTGAAAAGCGATAGTCAACTTTTATGGCAATATATGTTTTATTTATTTATTATTGTGCAGAATTCCATTCTGAATTCAACGATGTATACAGGGTATAGCAAAAGTACCGGAATGGCAGAATAATTCGGCGGGAGAGCATTTTAGAGAAAAATGTTAAATACAAAAGTTTCAGGATTTCTCCCTGGCTATCCGATGGTGACCTTGACATTGACCTTGACCTTAAAGATCATTTCAAGGTCAAATGTGATTTTTCCAATGGAGAAATCCTGAAACTTTTGTATTTAACATTTTTTTCAAAAATGCTCTCCCGCCGAGTTATTTTGCCGTTCCGTACTTTTGTTAGTTTGACCTTGTGGAGGCCCCAAGGTCAAAAGGAAGGTGTCACTCAAGGTCATATCTGAACATAAAATTTTTTGCTTTGTTCATTTCTGGGGTCGAAAGTATAGGGTCCCATTTGAAAAATCACATTTGACCTTGAAATGATCGTCAAGGTCAACAGTTATAACACATTACCGAATGATTATTTTGTTGGAAGAAAAATATCCACGTTAAATTGCATAAGTATTTTAAATTAACATCACTTATTATTTATTTATTTTTTTCTCAACAAATATTTGAGAAATATATCGACATGGTAAATATTTCCCTAAAACTATCGGAAAACCTGTGAAGAAAGTTTTTGTAGCAGTTGTAACGAACGTGTTTGGACCTGTTACTAACCGTATTTAAGAGAAAATATTTATTTGTAAATTTGATATATTTTTGTATTAAAACGATGCTTAGAAGGTCCAGTCAAAATTCAAGCTACAACTCTTCTTTCATATGATTTTTTAGCGTTGTTTCTAATAGAAATGAATGTATTATTACAGTATACAGCCTCTGAGGTAGACATTCTAAATCTAATAATGTGTAAAAACCAACGTAATAGACTTATTTAAAAACTTGTTTGTATCAGGTATTATAATTGTGTATGTATAGTGATTATTTAAATCATAAAAAAGAAAATATAGATATTTATAAAGTACCTCTTTTATGTTAGTCTTAAGTTATAGATGTCAATGTTGTACATAATTGCATTAAAGTCATATTTATAGACTTATAATCAGTGTTTCATTCACAATATTAAAAAAATCCAAAAATGATCCTCGCTCTAGCAAAAAAAAATATTTTTTTGCTAATAAAAAAACTTGGGTTATTAAAAAAGTTTATTATATAATAAATAGAAATAAATTAACTAAAAATAAATACTAAAACATAAATAAAAAAACACTAAATCTAAAAAGGCACATGACGGAAGTCTCAATTTTCCCCGAATAAGGTACCAGAGCAAAACTATCCTCAAATAAATATTTTCCCAAGATTAGCTACACCTTCCCTAAACTAAAAGTCATGTTCTTGCTATTGGTTGGCTTTGGAACGAGATCAAATCACGAAGTTTGCACTGGAGGAGGTTTTAACATCGATCGGGCAGCGGTGGCTAGTTGCCTCGATACGACCGAAGCTATGTGAGCACTTCTCTTCCAAATATATTCTCTAGTTTTGTCGTGATTATCGGGACTATCCACTCGAACCTGTAACCGAAAAAAAATAATAATGTGGACGCCTTTGGGTGCAGTATCTCAAAAACAAAAGTCCATGGAAAAAATCGTCACGTTTCCTTCATTTTCTACCAAGTAACTTACTTGTTTTGGTTGTAACACCCTAATAGAATGCAACGTAGCAGCACCGCCATGAACGATCCTCAAATTTAGCCTTCCGTACATCTCTTCAGTGGTAGCCGTTGCACTTTTCAGTTCTCTTCTAGCACCTTTTCCTACCTAAAATAGAATTCAATAATAACGTCTGTAAGAATCGATTAAAGGGCATTTTCCCCACCTCTCTCTCCACCCTTAAAGTGAGGGGCCCCAGAATGAAATTAGTCTTCACAGTGGTGTGATCCGACATCATATTCACGTTGACATCGCCGTCCCTTTTGATAGAGCTGAGCCCAAATAGGGTCGCTCTAGCCTTTTGCTTGTTCTTGTTATTGCTCTGCTTAGTTTTGTTGTTAGTGTTTTTGTTGCTGGTGTTCTTGTTATTGTTGATACCGTTCCTTATCGTATTTTTCTTCTTTTTGTTGGTCTGTTTGACAGGTGTGGCCCTGTTTTGGGAAATGGGAAGTACAGAGTTTTTGGCGGCCTGTTCTTCGGGCTTTGGGCCGTTTTTGGAAATTAGGATGAACGCTGGTTCCCTGCTTTCGCTTTCTGAAGAAGAAACAATTGTAGCAGCATGTACATACATTCTTATAACGTGGAAATCTTCTTGAACCTTTTATCTAATATTAAAATATATTTATTTTCTTGGGAATTGGGTTCTGGTGTGATAGTCGGTTAAAAAAAGGATAAAAGAAACAGCAGTTATTTCTTTCTTGACGTTTCATTCCTGATCAGGAACTTTTTCAAAAGGCTTTTATTGTTATTGTTAATTAAATAAAACCTAAACAACCATTTTCCATAGAATAAATTTTTAAAAACTATGCATCAGTCATCGTATATTGGACAAATTCTCACAATATAATATTGTGTATATTGTGAAAATTTGTCCAATATACGATGACTGATGCTTAGTTTTTAAAAAATTATTTTACGGAAAATGGTTGTTTAGGTTTTATTTAATTAACAATAACAATTTTAACAATAAAAGCCTTTAGAAAAAGTTCCTGATCAGGAACGAAATGTCAAGAAAGAAATAGCTGCTGTTTCTTTTATCCTTTTTTTAACCGACTATCACACCAGAACCCAATTCCCAAGAAAATAAATATATTTTAATATTACATTCTTATATTTCTTTATTTATACAGTTAGGTGTACCACTTAAGATGAATTCTACATCTTATTGTTCAATTACGGATATATTATGACACAATGTTTCTCTATCAAAAGAGAGTAGAACAGAAAAGTAAAAAATTCGAGGCTGCAAAATTACTTCAAAACTGTATACCAAAAATTATTTTTCTGAGACTGCTCTGAAATATTAAAAATTGTTGAAAGTAGGAGTAAAAATTTACTCTAAATTAATTGGATGTAAATAGTTGAAATATGATCAGATTTTAGATGGCCTATACTGGGTGTCCGAAAAAGAATTTTACATACGTCAGTAGTGGGTTCCGAGGCACAAACAGGAATAATTTAGCCATTTTCATTTAGAGGTCTGTATAGCAAATAGGCAACCAGCAATACATTTTTATAGATTTTATTACACAGTTTGTCTAAATATGAATTAATGCGCGGATAACAGACTTTCCTCCATTGTAACGCAGATTTTCTATAGAATGGACTTAGTTTGAGACTCGAAGCACTTTTTCGTGTAAAGAAAAGTAATTTATGATGCCGCGTGTTCAAAAGCGGTAAATTACAAATTTCTTTACAACAAAAAGGAATTTGAGTTTCAAACTAACTCCATTTTACAGAAAATCTGCATTAGAATGGAGGAAAGTCTGTTATTTGTGTATTAATTCATATTTAGACTTGGACAAACTGTGTAATAAAATCTATAAAAATGTATTACTGGTTGCCTATTTGCTATAGAACCCTCTTAAGTAAAAAAGTTACCATAAAAAAGTATATAAAGATTACGTACGTACCTGTGGACCTGCCAGTATCATTTACTTCGTTAGAAGCCCTTGCTATCTGCAATTCTCCCATCTTATTGCTGACTTTATCAGAGCGTTTGTGGCCGTTTTTCCTGTTGGAGTTCTTCTTCTTGCCCTTCCCCTTATTTTTTACCTGGTTGTTGTTCTTTTGGTTGGAGGGCAGCTTTACGCGGACGGGATCGTAGGACTTGCCCAGGATCCTGTTTATGCGGCCGATTATGTTGTCCACGAATCTGTTGTACTTCGAGATGTATATGGCGGGCATTTTTGGGGAGCCGCCCTTTAGGGCACCTGATAGAGGCAATCGTTTTAAACTGTCGTGTTTTTTATTTTTTGGAACGCGCTTCAATCGGATTTTAGATATGCTGATTGCTGATAATTTGGTAGATAGAGACGCGTAATTGTTTGTGAAATTTTAGATACAGGATGCAAATAAATAAATGCGTTAAAATTAAGGACGTGTTCCCCGTTGAAAATTAAATTCTTGTAAGAAACATCTCTCTTACCATTAATTTCTTGGATAACTTTCATCAGTATACTATTTTAAACTGTTAAATAATTTATTTGAAACAAGTTCTACCCTTCTATTTTTTTCGTAAATGTAATAGATTTTGAGCAAAAACAATAAAATAGGTCATATTGTTATTATAATAAAAAAAACAAGAATTTATTTAAACTTTTGATCACAGGTAACAAAATACCGAACAAATAAAGAATAAATGCTCGTACAAGACCATAAACAAAATGAATATGTCATTTCGGGGTTCGTGTGATATTCAATAATCAAATTTGCACAAAAAATCATTCAAAATAACGGCAATAATATTGTAAATTCTTCACCACAGCCTACTACAAAATTTGAATTTTAATACCATCAGGGTGTGTATCGTAACGAAATATTTTTTACTCATAAATTATTACATCTACACAAAAATTTAATAAAACAAATTATTGAAATATGTTTTTAAATGATCATACTGGTGATAAAAAAAAGTTGCGCAAGTAATTGATTGTGGGGAGGGGGGGCTACGGTGTCGGGCTTCACGAAATCGGACCTTGGTGGCAAGATCTGATAAAATGAAACGAAAAAGTGTCTAGGTTTTGAAATTTTGACCTTTTTTTTAGAATCAAACCAAATTAGAAGTCGCAGATCGCGTGACCTTATCAAGTCGCAGATTGCGTGGCCTTTTTTTTTAGAATCAAAGCAGAACATGTTTAGGTTTTCATATCGGATTTTTTTAGAAAAAGGGTTTCCGTAGAGCTTGAAGCTCCGGGCCTCACCATAGTCCGGCCCTGCTTGTAGGGTTATTTACTTCTATCCCTTGCAACCAAAGAGGATAAAAAAATTGTCCCGTAAATGTCTTTTTGGTATATGTTATTTAATTTTTGTAACTTTCTCCATCTATCGGAGAAAAAATTAGAACTAAATTTTTCTCCTTTCTTTTGAATGGCCATAAATCCGCAAGAAAAGGGAGAATAGTAAAATATCTCGTGATAGACTGCTCCTAATTTTCGAGGAGTTTCTTTCTCAATTTCTCGCACTTATTGATTTACACCCCGTATAAAAAAGGAAAAAATAACCTCCTAAACGTTAAATTAACGGCATTCCAAATTATAATATCTAGTTTTATTCAAAAGATACAATGAATTTATCTAAAATCCACTGTTTATTAAGCACACACTAGATTAATTTAAAAATGCGCACATTAAGCCACACTACTTATTCAATCAGTACAAAAAATTATTCAAAACGTATAAAAAAGACTTTCCAAAGTTCAAAACGCGATGCGTTCATAATAAATGAAAATCTCCAATTTAAAAAAAAATCCTCTTTCCAAACCTTTATTAGATTCAGTTCCCTATTTTTTTTATTAAAAAAATACGTTGTCATTCAATAAAACTGAATCGCAGCTTAATAAGAGATCAAATTAGGATAAATCTACAGGGTGTTAATGTAAATAATAATCGAATCTAAAAAATTGCTTCCAATATACAGGGTGATTCAAAATTCAGTACAAAGAACTTAGGAGCGTATTTTTGAGGTTAAAATAAGACTTTTTTTCCTATAAATGTAGGTCCACAAATGCTTAGTTTTCGATATACATATAGGGTGTTAAATTTCTTTATTTGTTTTGATTTTTTACCCGGTACATTGATGTTTCGAATTAGTGCATTTATTTCCTTGTTTTAAGCAAAAAAAGGTATAATTGGTCGAAATCTCTAAGACCAACCAGAGATATTGGCTGATGAAGAGTTAAATGCACACCATATTTTCAAATTTTATTAACTATTAGGTACCGTTAAAATTTTTAAAATTTATTTTCACCATCTAATCAGTAATGCAATGATCGTAAATTTTAGCTCTTTAAATTTTTTCATATAACTAACCGTTTAGTCAGCAGTGATTTTCTCGAAAACGGTTAGTTGTATGAAAAAAATGTAGAGCTAAAATTCAAGATCATTACTGATTAGATGAAAATAAATTTTAAATTTTTTCATGGTACCTAACAGTTAATAAAATTTGAAAATATGGTGTGAATTTGACTTTTCATCAGCCAATATCTCGGAAACGGTTGGCCTGAGATTTCGACCAAGTTTACCTTTTTGCTTGAAATTGATAAGGGAATAAACGCACTAATACGAAACGTCAATGTACAAAGTAGCAAAAAAGTTAGGGCCAATTTAATTCAAGCTTGCTCTTATAGGTGGCGCCCTCTAAAAGCAGCGTAAAAACAATGACATATTTAAATTTAGCATCGTAAAAAAACCCCGTACCCCAAGTTTTATGCCAACATTCAAATTTGTTTGAAAATTATAAAATAGAAATAAAAAAACAATAAAAGAAAAGTACGCTCCTAAACCCTTTGTACTGAATTTTGAATCACCCTGTAGAAGAGATTTTTTTGAGGTTCTTGGTACTAAAGAGGAAGAATAAAAAATTTAAAATTTGCATTTAAATGGTGAAATATTATTATGATTTTAGGGTGGCCCAAAAAAAAACAAATATATTTTTTTTCGTGTCTTTTGTGAAAATATGTTAGTTTATCATGGTTTAAGAGCCTCCTCAAAAAATCAGCTCAAAAAATTTTTTTTTAGAGATCGCTCGAGATTTTTAAAAATTTCCAAAATCGTCAATAGAATTTAAAAAAAAAATTTTCTCGTTATTTTATCATTTTCTAGGTTGAAAAAAATCTCGATTCTGAAAATTTTAAATCGATATTTTTATTTCTAAAGGTAACTAACTCATAATTATTTTATATTTCAAAGTAGTGTACCTACCTAAAATGTTTTCGAGCTATCTCTTAAAATAAATATCAACGAACTAATAATTTTCTTATTGAATGTAATGAACAAAAAAACAGAACTAAATCACGAGACACTTAAATTTAAAAAAAAAATAAATATTTGATACAGTACGGTGGTANGTTGTATGAAAAAAATGTAGAGCTAAAATTCAAGATTATTACTGATTAGATGAAAATAAATTTTAAATTTTTTCATGGTACCTAACAGTTAATAAAATTTGAAAATATGGTGTGAATTTGACTTTTCATCAGCCAATATCTCGGAAACGGTTGGCCTGAGATTTCGACCAAGTTTACCTTTTTGCTTGAAATTGATAAGGGAATAAACGCACTAATACGAAACGTCAATGTACAAAGTAGCAAAAAAGTTAGGGCCAATTTAATTCAAGCTTGCTCTTATAGGTGGCGCCCTCTAAAAGCAGCGTAAAAACAATGACATATTTAAATTTAGCATCGTAAAAAAACCCCGTACCCCAAGTTTTATGCCAACATTCAAATTTGTTTGGAAATTATTCCGAAAAAATAAAAAAAGTACGCCCCTAAATTCTTTGTACTGAATTTTGAATCACCCTGTAGAAGATATTTTTTTGAGATTCTTGGTAATAAAGAAAAAAAACAAAAAATAATTTAAAATTTGCATTTAAATGGTCAAATATGGTTTTTAAATAATTACTATGATTTTAGGGAGGCCCAACAAAAAAAAATATTTTTTTTTCGTGTGTCAACTAATATTTTTTTTTATTGAATTTGATGAAAAAAATAATAGAAATAAATCACGAGACACTTACATTTTAAAAAATTAAAAAATTATAAATAATTGATACACAGTGCGGTAGTAAATTTTGCCTCGAGAAATTTTTTAAGTATCTCGTGATTTATTTCTATTCTTTTGTTCATCAAATTCAATAAAAAAATTATTAGTTCGTTGATATTTATTTTTAGAGATAGCTCGACAACATTTTAGCAGTGACTAAAAAGAATTTATAGTCACTGATTTTAGATACACTACATTGAAAGTTAAAATAATTATGACCTTTAGAAATTAAAAAATCGATATGAAATTTTCAGAATAGAAATTTTTTTCAACCTAGAAAATGATAAAGTAACGAGAAAAAAATTTAAAAAAGAAATTAAATTTTTGACGATTTTGGAAATTTTAAAAAATCTTGAGCGACCTCTAAAAAATTTTTTTTGAGCTGATTTTTTGAGGGGGCTCTTAAAATATGATAAACTAACATATTTTCACAAGAGACACGAAAAAAATATATTCGTTTTTTTGGGCCACCCAAATTGATTTTAATTAGTTTAAAATATATTTAAAAACTGATCAGGAACGAAACGTCATCTATTGTAAAAAAAGTTTTTAGTACTACTTTAAAATAACTGTTCCTAACACCAAATCCAATTGCTCAAAATCCAATTTCAAACAAAATTTTCAGTCTGGGCTGATCGACAGAGGGCGCTAGTGTTACTTTTACGGTGGCGCAGATATGTCCTAGTTTTTTATCGCATATCTGCATAAAAAATAATTTAAATACCCGCAACGAGCTTTATTTCCCAAATGCCCCGTATGGCGCCCATAAATAACGCGCGATGGGATCGATCATCGCTTGGTACTGCCTTGACGTTACTCATAACGGTACGGTCAAGGCGAAAAGGAAACGACAGGTCAGTGGCCACCGCGGGCGCGGGTCAGGGCCGCACTTTCTACAGGCCCACGGACCAGCAGCAGATGGCGAGGCGAAGAAGCTGAAGCCGGTAGTTATCCTTGATTCGTTCCCGAGACCGGCGAGAAATTAGAAAATATTTAAATAAATTGCTTTTCTCCACATTTAACGTTTCACTCTTTGCATGTAAAACAGGATAAATAAATTTTAATAAATACATACTTTGTACTCATGGAAACCGTTTGGGGGCAGGGGCGAGGGGGCAGCTGCCTCCAGAAGCCGATGATGGATGTGTCTTATATTTTATCAAAATTCTGCA